CAGCCGCACACACCCCGTCCCACCCAGCCAGCCTTGACCTTGAACACGACCTGCCCACTGGGTATCCGACCCCTCATCAGCCTGCTCTTGAAGGGGCTTGGCCCACTGCACATGACCCCTCTTCGCGCACACACACACACACACACGCACACACACACGGGTGGGGATCTGGGGCTACTCAGGTGGATTAGCCCCTGTGGGGCTGGGTGGCCAGCTCTGGGCCTCCTGGTGTCACCTTTTGGCCTTCCCGGCCCAATGGCCAGAGGCGGTGGGGAGCCCTGACAGGACATCCTGTGGAGACAGCATTCGCAGGGCGCGCTTTCTTCAGCCTGCAGCCTCCGGACCTCGGAAGGCAGCATGTGAACATCTTGGTTTGAGGATCTGTAACGAAATGAGCTGGGCCGGGGGCCGTCTCTGGAATGTGGGTTCCTGGTTACCCGGGTTGCAAATTCTGATGGGCTCTGTTGTGTTGGGAGGTGAGGTCACCACGGCTGGGGTCCCCTTACCCAACTTCCTCCTCACACAAGAGCCCCACCCCGAGGGCCCCTCCCCTAGCTGTTCAATGCTCACCCTCCCCCCGTGCCCCATCCATACAGTGACACCCTCACAGCCCACCCACAGCCCCCGCAAGGCCTGGGTGCGGCCCTTGTGTGAGGACACAGAGCTGGGTTCAGACTGGGCTCCTGCGCGTGCCCAGGGCTGTGACCATGGAGAGACCCTGTGCCTCTCAGGGCCACCCCAGGCTCCCCATCTGCACCCTGGGGTGTTCTGGCTTCTACTTCTAGCACGCCCTCAGGGGTAGGACCTCTACACATGTTCCGTACCTGCTATCACAGGAGGCTGGTGCACAGTGGAAAATGCAAGGATGAGCCAGGGCCTGGGTGGGGCATGGGGAACAGCTCAGAGGGGCCTGGTCTGCTCTGGGGGCCAGGCAAAGCCACTCCCCTCCTGCCTGTGTCCCAGCCCCTGAGGGAAGTTTGCAATAAACGGATTCTGAACTTGTCCCCTGGTGACGTAGACTTCCAGGGGCTCCCATTAGGGTTAGGATCAGGCCCCAGGGCCTCATGTGCGCCCACGTGCCGGGCAATCCCCACAGTGGTTCCCGGGCATTCCCGAATCCTGCTCACACATCCCTGTGGAATCCCCTCACCTCCAGGGTGGATGGCCTGTGTGACCGCGTGCTCAGGAAGAGAATGGAGCAAAATACTGGGATGTCATTTCCAAGCTGATGGAGGAAAGTGTGACTTATCCTGGTTCCCTCTCTCCTGTGTTCATACTCTGTCTCTGTCTCTGTGTTTCTGTCTGTCTGTGTGTCTCTCTTTGATTCTGTGCTTCGGAGAAGCAAGACCAGACAGTATGAGCTGCTGTGGGAGACCCCAGTCCTAAGAACCCACAGACGGTGCAGGCTGACAGAAAAGTCCTGAGCCCCCACTCTGAACCGAATCCTGCCGATACCACGTGAGCGGTCTTGGCGACAGAGCCTGCCCCGGTCGAGCCTGAGCAGAGGTTGCAGCCCCGGCCTCCTGGGGGACCTGGAGGCAGAGGCTCCCCCTGAGTGGAGCCGGGATTCTGGTACAGGAACTGTGAGATACAGAAGGTCTGTTCTTGCAAGCACACTTCGGATCGTGTCTTTGTCAGAACTCTGGGAGAACTTTGGTGTGCACGGTCAGTCCTTAAGCTCTGCAGAGGGCATCTAGGGTGTGGGGACCTTGTCCCTCAGGGATCTAGTATCATCCACGTTCTAATAAGGAACTATCTAGAAAGAGGCCGTGGCCTCAGGAACTGTGGGTGAGGTTTCTGGCAGCTGGAACGAAGCAGGCTTGCCTACACAGAAACCCACAGAGTTTCAAAGAGCGGAGCTCCGAAGGGCCTCCGGGGCATGCTCTGTGCAGACAGGCCTGCCCCCAGCGCCTTCCCCACAAGTGTGGAGAGGAAGGGGGGTCTCAGCGGGCAGAGGCAGGGAACAATGTGCTGGGAACCACTCACATCCTGGAGGAAGGAGGTCCCCATGCCGCCTCGGCCAGACCCTGAGCTGCTGTGCTTGTGGCCACTCAGGGCCCGCTCCACCGCTGGTGCTCCCTGGGGCCTCGCTGTCTCTTCCCCCACGGATGCTGAGCACGTGGGGATCCACCTAGGCCTCATGCCGTGTGGTCTCTAGTGGCCTCTGTGGTCACAAGACCCCGGATTCAATCCTACT